AATAATAAAAAATAATAACAAATTAATAAAAACAACTTCATAGACATAAGTATAACAACAGTATAAGATTGTATAATATTTCCAAAATGTCAATTTGTGACACATGTGGCATTTTTATTCAGAAGCTACAACAAAAAATAATTACCTATATAAAATACAACTAATATAATAAAAAAAAATATGTGTATAACTACATTTTTGTTATCAATAAATGTCAACTATTTGCACTATATCTTCTTTGCGCAAATATTAACCTCGGAAAATATTATACCATTAAAAACAATAGATTGTAACGAGTCCAATGGTGTATAAATTACTAATATAATTTTAATTTATAATATAATACTCAACAATCTAAAATAAACTTTTTTTGAAAAATATTTTTTTTTATACTTTTATCGAATGTAAAAATACTATAAAACCATTGATATCGAAAATTTATGATATATAACCTATGTAAAATTGTATAAAGAATTATAATATGTACTTATTTGATTGATTATACGTTGTAGTAAATGGTAGTCACACTAATTTCGTAAAATAATTTTAAAATTTGAAATGTTAACAAGTTTTAACGATTAGTGGCTTGTGCACAAGCCACTTTTGACAATAATGATTATCAATACGGTTATCACCATTATAATATTAAATAATTGTTGAACACATGTTATTATGTTATCATTCTATCGTAATTGATAAGCAAAACAAAAATTGATTTATTTTTATGGCGGTTTTCATATTGATAATAAAGTGGCTACTATCTATGCCACAGTTCCGTTAAACTATAATTAACAAAAATAATTTTGATCATACGGGTCTCTTCAATGGTGGCTGATATGGAGGCCACAGTTGTCTTATTTTTCGTATTTGAAAATTAGGTTTGCCCGTTAAAGGGCTAATGATGACTATTACTACGCATGCATCTATAGGACCAGCACGAATGCACTTAGAAAATTGCCTATATTGAACTCCTTATAAACGGTTGGTTTTGAAAGTTACAGCTCAAACCTGGACATCTATACTAAAATATCAGGCGACAGAAGACTCTTATGTTGGAAAATGTAGAATCACTATGAAAATTTGGATTCATTTGTCATTTCACTTATTCCTGACTTGTCGATGGTTGGGTTGCACAATGCCACAATGTGATACATTCTAGGAGTTAAAACATTTCGAAGTGATATGATATAAATATGTAGGTAATATTATTATTACCCATATGCTTGATATTATTATCGTTCAATGTTCATACCATGAGGTGTATATAATATCTATATGCTATACAGGGCGATTCTTTTATCATTGAACACTCATTATTTCAAAAAGTATTAATGTTTTTGAAAATATTATTTTATACATATAGTCTATATTTGTCTGTTCTAACAGCACATTTGACTATTTGAGCATACTTAAAGTCCAACCTACCTACCTGACGGTTTTAATGCTTGATATTAGTATATTAAATAATAGATATGGTAAATCAACTTCTCCCTGTTCCTCAACGAGAATTTTTCACAGAGAAAGTTACACTATTCGTGGAAATCAATTAAAAACTATTTTATTTTATTTATATATTGGGTCCTGTGGAGGTAGATAGTTCATTAAAACTGATATTTGTTATTCAACTGGTCTGGGAAATGTAATGTATTTTATTACTTTATTATGATCATGAAATGTTCATGGTGGAAAAATATGAAATAAATATTTAATAAATAGGCAGGTATTGGAACTGGTAAAAATATGCTTTGCACCGATCCGATCCGAACCTGACCTGTAACTACCGATTTAAAACTCTGCATACGCATACCAACGTGTATTCTATAGTTAATAATTATCATCTAAAAAAAATACATCATAATCGAAAAGAATTTGTACACTTGTAGTTTATCGATTCTTTAATTCTAAGTACTCTAAAGAATAGGTAGGTGGGTGATTTTCTTGTTTGTTTGACAACGGATGAAATATAATGCATTTTAAAAATCAACAATATGGGGGCAACTCATCGGAATAATAATTACTACGCAATTTGTTCCATGTATAATGCATATTAATTGACGTTCGTTGAATGAATAAAATATTACGTACCTAAGTGTAAATATAAATATTATACCCGGCAAGCCATTAAACAGTACCCCTTTTTTAAAATAATTTGTGAGGTTAAGAAGTTACTTCTTTTAACCACTACGAAATAAAAAAATTCTATAATTTATTAGTCGGTTAACAACTAGGCAGGCACCTGCCTATTTACACTTACACATCTGTATTATAAAGATTGACATTCGAAATCTACACTGGACTCCAGTCTCCAGGAACTGGAGTAATCCCATCGACTCAGAATTGGTATAAATATTTACAATATAGCTTGTAGAACAGCATTCAGATTGTATGCTTTACCACCATCCACAAGTCACAAGCACAACATATTATTACACAGTATTAATATTGACGTATATAATGACTGAATATTTGAAAACACAATCGACTCGATTACTTTTTAACGGAAATGCGGGCTAAATCTACATACTTCACATTAGAACAATACCATTTCATAAACATTTCTATCTGAAATGTCTGCGTCACTTCTCACTCACTACAATGTCCCCCCCGCATATATTATCCATGTAAATATTGTAATAGCTTTAAATAATTATAATATTTAATGGTTTATATTATACAAAGTGATTATTAGGTGCAACACAAAAACCAGTCAACCCAATACGCCATGTTCGAATTTTAAACACGGCGATCATATTTTTCCTTCCCAAAACAGAATTTAAAATGCTCTATATTTGTCCAAAATATCAATATTATTCAATTATTATTTATTATATTTTTCAATTGAACTATATCGTTGAATGCGGACATGAAATAATACAAATGTATTTATAAAAAGCCTAACACATAATGGTCGTGTTTAAATTTAATATCAATGAACAATCGATAAATAATAAATCGTTGCATTAGAAAAGAAGATTCAGTTGAGTGTTGGTTAATATTAAGCCTAAAATGGTAAAAAAATGTTGTTAAAAAATTAATACTAGTTATAATCAGTGATCAATAACCACTGTTTACTAGGTATTACGTTTCGAAATTTTCTTGGTACCGTGACACAACTATAGTAACTAAACACTATGCTGAACACTATAATAGCAGCTGCATGACAAACTGTAACATCAACATTCAATAATGTGGTTTTTATTACAGTCGCACGACTTATAAATTATTATGAATTTATGATACTTAGTAGAATATATAATTCCAAATGATTATCATATTATTTTGTTAGTTATGTATACCAATTTACGAAATTAGAGGAGTAGCTAAGGCGCTTAGTCCCCCCCAGGTTTTTAAACATATTTTAGTTTAAAGTATAAATTATTAGGGTCTTTGCTGCTTATACAATTTTAGCCTCCTCCCCACCCCCCCAGAAAAATGTCCCTAGTTACGCCTATGTGTATAAGTACAGCATGTATCTAGAGTATAGAATATAGAGACATAGGTATAGTAAATTAGTAGGAATTTAAATAGTGATAATACATTTTACAACATTATGTGTAATTCATACAAACAAAATTAAAGGATATTATGTATACGAAGAAAGATCCTCTGGTACTTGACAACTTGGTGCTTACCTATGTACATCAGAATATCGGAGTTGTAAATTACTAGTTATCCCACGCATTCGATATGTATTTAAATTGTATAACAAGGAACAGGACAAAGTATTTAATGATTAATTTATGGTAACTGTAGAAATTGTTATATTAAGTTAAAAATAAATGTACTAAAATATTTTTGGTAGCGGGCGGCTAAGTAGATAGATCTCATTATTAATCCCTTTTAGGGCGCGCTTGGAATAGACGCGCCTGGAGCGTGATATTTACTATAGGGCTTATTATTATTAAGTTCTTCACGTGTGACGCGCCAAAACTGTGTTTCCAACAACTAGCACACGCCCAATCATCCGTGCTTTTTCCAATCAGACATTTTGACATAAATTCAAACGTTTATACGGAAAATGTAGCCGAAAACGACACATGGGCGAATTTATCTGACCCACAAACGAGATATTCTGTTTTTTAATAATAATTTTTATGGAAAATTCAATAATATTTTGCTTTTACTTTCATTGGTTATATATGTATAAGTATATTGAATTTTGATGGCACTCGAAAACTCCCTAAAATAATATGGACATCCAAAAATATTAATTGGTGACCCCTTAGTATACAGTATATTCTTTGATATAGTGTAATATATCTATTCCGTTAAACTGCTAACATATAGATATTGGTAGTTATGTAATTTTGTCATTTCCAAAACCAACTATTTAGTCAAATAACTATATCTCATATACTATACATAAAGATATGTATTATAACTGATCATTTTTGTACCTATGTAAATTAAATAATAATTTAAAAAGTGTAGTACTTATATAGAAAATAGTTTCATTTTTTCTAGTTCAAACAAACATAATAATATAATCAAGTAAGTATTAACACAAATCTTTAATTCAACAATAGAACAAAAACAAAATTTTATCTAGAATTTCTAGTAGGTATATGACTATCATTAGTATTTAGTACTTATCAAAAGATACAATAGTAATGCTGTTGAATTTTATCTGATAATATAAAACAAATAGGTAGGTATGTTTATCTTGAGTAACACTGAAATAGCTATTGTGAAAATTTTCTAGACATTTCTAAACGTCCGAAAAATAATAGGAACTAAATAATCGAATTAATTATGTTAATTAATATCGATTTTCATAAGTATTATAAACATATAGGTACACAAAAATGGCTACTAAATTATATGATGAGACGTAAGACATGGTATTTACATTTCATTATGGCGCGATGTAAATATAAGTTTTACATATTATTTCGTGTGGTTGAGGGTTAAACCATAAAAACAACATAATTTCTAATTGACGCCAAAGACTAGACTGTAACGATTGGAACCATAAAATATAAATAAAAACATCACTGCTCTTAATCCGATCCTGCGTTGTCATCGTTCAATAGATTCGTACATGACTTGGCTTTGGTAGTACTGAAAAAAACAAGTCATCATACAATTAAAAAATAATGAAAATAAAAAATCAAGAGCGTAAAAACACGATGGCTTTCTATGCTATGACTTATAATAATAATAATAACATTACTGCCTAAATAAAAATATTTTTGGAACAACAAATGTAAACTGTTTATTTTTAAAGTATCTATAAATAAGGAACAAGAACCCGTTTATAAAATGCTCAGAATATTATTATCACTTATATAAGTTATAACATTATTAGGTACCCATTCAGATATAGTTTTATTTTTTATCGTATTTATTACATCACTACAGTAAAACATGGCCCAGTGTTACGAGGTGGGCAGTCATAATGTCATAAACTCATAAACTTGTTTTGAATCAAGCATCAGCTAGTGTCACTAGTTCCCGGATAGGTGACCACCAGAGTTTTAGTGACAAATCCTCACCACATATACACATTTTCTAACCAACAGTACCCACGGTTAAATAACTACAAAATCACCTTCAAGCTAATGACCATAGATGTTGAAGCCTATGGTCACCTTCAAGTGAAAGGAGGGAGCCGAAGAGGACGAACGGGAGCCGACACGGATACATCGCTTTTTTTCATACATATCGTTATTACGAATTCATATTATTATGTTAGTAATTTTAGTATGTAAAATGAAAATAAGATAAAACATTACTCCAATGCTATTTTGGTTTTAATGTCTTATGAACCTATTCAACCTAATTTCAAACTAAAAAATTTTAAATTAAATCAAATAAGGAAACTTCCGGGTCTACTCATATTCAAATCACATTACTCAAAGCATTTACCATAAAACATACTATACTCCATCAAAACTCTGACTATATTTAATGACACAATCGGAGATTATAAAGTGTAGGTATATGGTATTATGGCAAATGCGAGATTAAGTCAATCAACAATGAACAGGGATTTACATACCATTTCAAAAAAGCGATGAGATTTACGGTACCATTAAGTTTGAATGTAGTTAAAGTATAAACACAACACAGTGACTTCAAAATATCTCATATAAGTTATAAGTATATATTAGAGAAAATGAACAATGACGAAAGAAAATCAACAATGATGGAATAAATAAATTCCTAGTGAGTCCAACCTAGATACGTACAACGAAAATGCAAATATTGTTAAAGTACCATTTACAAAAAACATGTAAATATTTTTTTTAGGCTAGCTTATACAATAATCTTGTTATAGAAACCTTAAAATACAAAATAAATGTAATTAAAAATAAATTTTAGTGAAAATATATTCGTATTGTAGTTTTAACTTATGTAAGTGGTGTAGTATTGTAGGAATAGTAGGATATATTTCATTTTAGTAGACTATATTAAATATTGTATTATCTATACAAGCTTTTTTAGAAAACACTTTAGGTACCTATTTGTAAAACATTTTGAGTGTTATATAAAAATTGTACTTAAGACATAAGAAGACATGTTGTAGTTTAACAATCAAATAGATATACATATTATTTATAAGAACAATATTTACCTATTTGACGCTTTAGATCTACGACAAATATGTAGAGCAATAGAACCGCTTTTAAACGACTTAAATAGTGTTATAGCTTCTGAATGAGTCAAGTCGTGACAAACATTTCCATTGACTGCTAGTATTTCGTCTCCTGTAATGATAAATAAGTAATAACTAATAAGTAATCACAAATTTTAATAAAAGTGGATTAAGACAATAAATCAAGACAATAGTAAATAATTGTGCGAGTAACGTTTTTTTCTGCGGTTCTGTTAAATGAATTGTCTCCACTTCATATAATTCATGTTTTTGTATATACTTTTGTTTTTGTTATCATTATTACTTATTGTTTTTATTTTTATTTTGTAAACAGATGGAATATATTTTAATTAAAAAAAAACAAGTTATGTATTCAGAAATTTATAGATAACAGTTGGTTTAAACTTGAATTACACATCGCTGTTGTGCGTGGTGCGTCACTCATCTAAAATTTCCAAAATTCCAAATGAATCGTAATTCGTAGGTAAGCTAAATTTTCTTTAATTGGTAGGACATTTTTAAAATCCACAACACTAGACTATATTGAGTAAAAATATATCTGTAAAGCCAAATGTTTATTTGAACGTATGTGTAATTCCCTCTTATTCGTAATATATTTGAATAAAACATAAATGACGTATGGGAGACTTTTTGACTTTCTACAAGTACCTATGCGTATTAAACAAATTATGTAACACTGTTATAATAATGATTAGACAATTATTATTAATCAATATATTTAATTGTTATACAATACGATAAATAGTATGACTCAATTGCAGGATAATATACGATTTTTTTTTTTTTTTTTTTGAGACGTTAGTCATCAGAAATATAAAAATGCGTACAATCTATTGTATATTAGATGTAAGAACACGACGGCAGAAAAAATACTTGTTTACTATTTTAAATTTTTACTTATATTTAGAAAGCTATTATAATATTATAATTTATATCTATTATAAGTGTATAAAAATTACTTAATTCGTTAGTCCGAACTATAATGCATTCGTTCCTTTTATAAGTGGTGCGCTAAAGGAGAATATCGATTTATGTAATATGTTATATAGTTATGTATAACACCTACTTATAAAGTTCAGATTTTGAAGACATTTGTTTTTTCTATCGATCTAATACGATACACAAAACTATAGATATCTGCTTTAAGTTCATAAAATGCCATCATACTTTTAAATTTAGATTTAAAATTTTTTTTCTTGTATTTTCAAATATTACGTACAAAGGTCTACCTTCACTTTTTGTTTTTGAATATTTTTCAACCAATTAAACTATAATGTTCATACATACTGTGCATAATAATATATATTAAACTTCAAATAATAAAACAAAATTAGTAAGTACGTCTTAAAATTTGTTTTTTTTTTAAATAATTTTTAATATTTTTGGTGATTTATTTAAGTTATTCTGTTTTGCATATTTTAAGTGTTTTAACTAGAGCTATAGCCTATAGGTATACTGTAAAATCCTAACTCATATATTTACCAGGTTTTAATCTTCCGTCCTCCGCAGCCTGACCATTGTCCAAAATGCTTTTGATGAATATGCCCATGGCCCCTTTCGGTGAATCTTTGCCTCCGACAATCGTGAATCCCAAACCTTTTTTGCCCGGACCCTTTTCGAGCACGAAGGTGTGAAACGTGCACACCGTCGACCTCGGCCGCCGCGGCAACGTACAAAACGTCGTGCAATCCGTACCAGCGAACTCAGCACGACCGCCATCGCCACTGACACCACCATAACTGTCACCACTGAAGCCACCACGGTCGCCACCCTTAAGGTACACAGTGGACACGTTGGTATTGCTCTTGACGGCTGACCGCGGGCGCGGCGGTGGTGTTATATACACCAACGTTTGTCCATTCTTGTTGTACTTTTGGATGGGCGGCGCCGGGCAGCTACCACCGCTGTGGTCGTAGTCCACAGATGTCTCGGGCATCCTCGCTCGCGGTCGATCGGCAGCGTCCGCGGTCTGGTTCTCAGGGTCACGTCTTGTAACCAGAAGGTGTACCGTGCTGCATCCGTCGTTAAGCAAACGGTTTGCATCGGCCGCGTCCAATCCGGCCAGACGGCGTCCGTTGACATTCACTATCTGGTCGCCAACTTCCAGATCACTGGTCCTGCGCAAAGCAAAATTAGGATCGGTTAAAATAATCGTTATTGTATTGCGAATAATATTATCTAGAAAGGTGTGATTAGTGGCGGCGAGCAGTGTTATAATTTAAAGCTTTCGAGGGGCAAAGTTTTTTTTTTGTGTGTAGTTAGTTAACGAGTTATTAAATATAATATGTTTATTATAGTGAGAAAAACTATAAATATAATATAAGAAAAGATTGCTAATATATTTAAAGATTACAAGACAATCATTCTCCTACTGACTTCCTATAGTTCTGCCTGACATATCCCCATCTAAGCCTCAACAGTACAAAAACTACACCTTCGAACCATCACTTAAGGTGAATAAACGAGATTGTCCAACCCCCTTAACAAGTCCAGGAACTCCCGCCGGAGATGTTGATAGTGAGATATAGGCAGACGTCACGTTCAAATAACTTATGTATCATACTATATGCAGTCTGGATCTATTCGTAAATATTCATTGAATGCAATACTAATAAATATGAAATTCTATGGTATAAACAAACTGCGAGATCTTCTAAATATTGCGCTACAAAACTGACTGAGAGTCACGTTAATATACCTATGGTATCAATTTCGCAAATGTTACAAAATTTGGACGACTCCACGTCATATAATAATATATTATACAATTATATGTATATAATATTATGTCTTATGATAAATTATATTAATATTATATCATAACGTTTATATGTAGTTAAAAACTGGTCGTACCTAGGGCGATAACAGTATGAAAAGTCAATACATGATATTATGTGTGTGACGATGTTTAATTTAAGTTAAATAACGTCGCCTGACCCTAATATTATTATATTATGCTACCTAGTTAATTACCTATCTAGTTTTGTTAATATTGTGTAATCCATTTTTAATAACATTCCTGCAGACTATAATAAGTGTCCTCGACCGAAATTTCAATAAAACAAAATATACATATTATATTATGATATATACCTATACATAATTTATTCTAAATATAAATTCGTAGGAATAAAATGCTTGAAAATGGAAATTGTACAGTGGAACATATATCATATAATAAAACATACATCATATAATAAAAAATCGATCGGCGTGAGCCATATTTGTAGGTAATTAAATAACGAGTTGCATAAATAATGTTAACTGATAAAAACCCATTAGAGTTGCAGTTTAATTTTAACCGTAATTTAATGATTAACTTGATATATTAAAAACTCGATGGATAAATATAATATAAATCATAAATTAAACACAAATAATTTATATATTTTGTATCCAACATAGAAAAACAAATCCTGAGATTTAAAATTAAATTTATTAAATCACTTTTCTTATCGACTTGATAAAAATGCATTTTGATCAAATATATTAATAAAACCAGAATTAACGACCTAAAAGCTATTTTAATTAAATTATGCAAATGTATAATGATAATAAAACAATTTCCATGAAATATAAAAATAAATAAATACTAGGTATAATCATTTTAAGCCAAACTAGATCATATCTGTGAGAATAAAAATTGTATAAAGCTTATGGGAATTTTCTTTCTTTTCATAAATTGAATGTATTTATCCACTTTCATTGTTAATTTACTCGTTTTAAGTAGCAAACTAAATTTTATTTTATGTTCTAGAAATGTTTTTGATGCAACATTATTGAAAATGTGAATGAGTATATAGTTAGTGTTTTATTAGTGTTTTACACTTTATAGTAGAAGATACATAGAATGGTATAATTAATAATTATCTGGCACGTAGTGCTAAATAAAATAATTTCAGAATATAATTAGAATTAGAATATAAATATAATTTAAGTTGTATAAATATGTAAAATATTGAACAATTTTAAGAAATATAATATAATATAATCTTATAGAAATAAATTTCAAAGAATAAAAATAATCTTCAAATTATGGTATATTTAATTTTATCAATTATTTCAAGTACCTACTCCTGAACTAACGTAGGCATATTATTGGCATTATTTAGATAAAAGTAATATAGGATTTAAAAAATAAGAAACAAATATTATAATTTATAATTTAGTTGATTAATTGAGTTAGGTATTTTAATCGTTTAATCATTATAAAAATAATAAGTATATTTTATATTTCTATGTAATAAAAATTATAGTTCCTAACAGTTTTTACTACAACTATCTGTGTCTAACTTTTTATTAAAAAAATTCTGACAAAAATTTTAATTTAAAAATATAGGTACCTAACGTTATTATATTGATTTTACACAAAGAGAAAGTTGATAGGTCCACATATATAACACATTAAACTGTTAATTTTAATCCAACTACTTATAAAGGTAGGTACCGAGTGATAGTATTGACTATAATATGCATCTAGTGTCTACTCATAACAAATATATCATTGATATATTCAAGGAATACTGACCTACTATAAATATATTACGTATAATATAATGTTGTTTAGTATTTTTATATTTTTCGAATTAATTTTGATTTATCAAGACATCGAAAAAAAAACAATCATAACACTCAATCGTAATACCTAACTTTTGTTCTCGATTTATAAAAATAATAAACCTTACCAAAAATATATTTTTTTTATTTTTCCTACATATACACATTTAAATTGACACATATTTTTAAACCCACTCTTAGTCTCTATGTGATAGCTTCCGGTAATGATTAGTTTTTTTTCCGTAATTAGGTTTTCATTCTGACCAAATACACGAATAATAAACCACAATAATATTATGATATATGATATTGGGCAGATGTAATTCAAGAAATAATAATATATATTTACCGATCAGCTACTCCTCCAGACACAATATTGACAACCACATAGCCGAAACTGTTCTCCGACCGTATTTCTTTAATCCGAACACCTAGAACCTGTTCTGGATTATCCCTATTCAATTGGACCACTCGGTATTCCTTATTTTTATTGGCTCTCGGTTGTAGTGTGTTCGATGATTGATTATTGTTATCAGGCAGTAAACTAAATGCATAATGTCGCTTTATGCCATACTGAGAAGCGCTCCTAAAACAGTAATCTTGAGTGCCATTTTCTGTGCTTCGATCAATATCGATCGGTGGATCATTTAGTAGTATGCCACTGTCATCGTCTTCCGGTGTACAGGTTGTTTTTTCTGCCGCAGTTTCGGCTATTCTCTTCCGAAATTCATCCAAGCCGGGTAACGCACCGTAAGAAAAACTTCTCAACTTGACCTGCATGAAATTAGTAAAATTAAGCATGAAATGTATTTGAATCAATGAACATTCTTAAGCACAATTTAAAATTATACGTAGATTATAAGTTACCGCAAAAATACGAAATACATGACAAAAATACATTGCTACTTGACTGTAAGGTTCAATTAAATGTACAATTAGTACAAAATTTTACTCCTAGATAAATTTATAAAATATATACACAAATTGTATAGTAGTTATGATCTAAAATAATATGTATTTTATTATTACATACTATGGAGCCGTTTCAAAATGAATGATAAATAATATTGTTACTGACCTTATTTATTTTGTTTTCGCCTAAATTCGGTTCTTCGGTTTCGGTTGATTTATTGGTTTTGGTAGAAGAGTTTTTATAAAATTTGGCTAAAAATCTATGCGTAGATGATTTTAAATATCTGTCTGAAATAGCCTTCAATCTACCAGATATTGTTGAATTATCATCATCGTCGTCGTCATCAACAACATCGACACCATCACGACGAACGCCAGTTGTGCAAATATTGTCCTCATGATAGTTTTTAATCGTTGTATTCGGTTTGAAATGTGTAAGACCTGTATGTTTAACTTGGTCTAACAGGGGATTTCGTTTTTCTTTGGTCTGCTTGTTACGTGCACTTTGCATCACAATAGTTCGGTTTCGGACATTGTAACAATTTACGTCTCGATTATACTCAGACCTCTCTAACCTTAATGGAGAGGCATCTACAAAAAAAAAAAATCATACAAATATAAATTAGTATAAATCATCATTTTTGAAATTTCATAAAACTACTGCTATGCGTGTTAAATTAATTCACTAATGTAATTAAAATTACTTAAAAGTTAAACCTATATAGATTTTTTAAATTGTTTCTTTTTCCTATGTTTCAATAATATAATTATGCAAAGAAACCTTTTAACAGAGAGAGAACTACAGAGGAATTAAAAGTAATCAACTTTATAGAGGTGTTAGCTTATTTATAACAGTGCTTGTATACCTACTTAGTGCCACAAATGTGTTTGTAATCTCATATTCAAATGTTTAAATAAATTATCGATTTTCCGAAGGAGTTTTTCATTTTTCTTAGGTACCTACATTGATTATTTATTAACCTTGGTAAATTATTATAATAATCGGAGTAATATAGAACCTATAATATAGTAAAATATGTATTTTTAATGAGAAAAAAATGAATACTTAATTTAATTGCTAATATTCAGAATTTATTCAAGTAATAATAGTATCTATTACATGTACATTTTCGAGAACCGACTTTAAGTAATATATATATCAATGCATATAATTATTAAAGTGATACAATTTGACAAATTAAATTATTTTTTTTTTTATACTAGTAATACTACGATATTTTTATTATGTACAATTAATGATTTACTTAAAAATAACATATGTGGCATTTATTTTGGTTTACAATGAATTGTAATTTTTAAATATTTACGAATAATTTATTTCACTATTGGTAATTTTAACTTGGATAACAGCCACTGATGACACTAGTACAAAATAAATACGGAGAAATGTTTAATTTCTGGATTGGATTTTTATACTAAAGTAATAATATTAAAATAATTGTTGGATATACTGTACTTTAATAATGTATAATCATGTATAATATAAGCTTATAGAAAGTTGTTTCTAAAAACCCCATTTAAATTTCGATATATTTCAATATGAAAAAATTATATAATTCAAATAATTGTCATTTTTTATTTAGCTATTAATATAAAAATAAACAAATAAAACAAAAAATATATTATCTAACTGCACCATGAATAGATGCATCGATGTTGAACAGATGACAAATTATTTGAGGTATGACATAAGTATATGATCCATTTCTTATATAGTTGTGTAAGAAAAAAGATTAACCTGACCTAGGTTAAACGTATGCAGAATTCTTCCATCGCTGGTCATTTGAGGTCAAAATAGTGAAAAACCTGGTGTTGATCGAAACCCACATTCCGATCGGATGCCGAATACTACATTCCCCTAATGGGCGTGACGTCATGTAAAATGCGACATGCATAACAATAACTAATAACTGTGACATTTAATTATTTTAGTAGTATTAAAAGTTTAGAATCGGAATGAATTATTTAAAAGAAAATCAAAATCGTATCAGGTTATATATTTTTATCCTTAATTTACATCAAGATTTTTTAATCATCGACACTTTAAAAGTAAAAAATAATACGAGTATAATAAGTACTAAAAAACGTAGGTATAGAATTCTTTAGAATGAACGTTGATTGTTAGTATGTAACTCGAATTTTAAGAGTAATGAACAAAATTTCAAATTCACAATAATTTTGAGTTAACAGTAAACGTAAGTACTCAAAACTCAAAAGAAGATATATTTTTATTCTTATACTGAGTGACGACCACATTAGTTGATAGGTTTACTTCGTACTTAGTAGTTTACGTATTAACGTAACCAAAACTCAAATTTTATGGAACATAAAAACATATAAAAAATCACTATTTATGTTTTACTTTTGTACAATGTAGGAAAGAAACCTTTTAAAGGCAAGTGGCTTACCTAGTTTACTAACTAGTAAGCTAGCTATATATATTATGGATCTAGGACAATCGGTCCCCGGACAATTGGTCCCCGCGAAAAAATGCGGCATGCGGACAATTGGTCCCCGTCATAATTTCATACACGGACAATTGGTCCCCGGCTTAAAAGTTAAACACAAAATAATTTTTTTAACATAAAACATTCTCATATAATATAATTCAAATTCTCGTGACACTGAACAAAGTAAAAATAATTATAAAGTTAAATAAAATTTATTTTATAATTAAATATAATATTTATTTTAATAACATTTTTAGATTCTGAGCGGAGCGATGAATGTATTTAAAACTGATTTTCAATAATATAATAGGTACGCTTAGTGAATAAAATATAATATAATATGGTCAAATAAAAAAATAAAAATGTATATAATACCTTGTGAGAATAAAGCCTTGATAGCGTTCATCGATGTTTTACAGCAATACTTAAGGAATACAAATAATTCAAAAGTTCATCTTTAGAAAAGTTGATGTTAAAACTGTTACAAATAGATATAATTTTAATATATATTGTAATCTTATTGAATTTTTGTTTCCCCCCTCACATACGGCCTTGGTTAATAATAATAAAAATAAAATATGAAATAACATAAAATATTACCGGGGACCAATTGTCCGCGTATAAAATAATGACGGGGACCAATTGTCCGCATGCCGCATTTTTTCGCGGGGACCAATTGTCCGGGGACCGATTGTCCGTTTACCATATATTATATACAGTTATCATGGTTGTTCGTACTTTGTTTTATGCTGCAGATTTTTACATACCGAAAGACTTTAAAATTGTGGCCTTGAGGGGTCAAATTTCTATAGTAGTTTAACAAACTAAAAATTAAGGAAAAACTGAGATTCTTACACAAAATCGATTTTGGTTTTTGGTGTAACTCCTCCAAAACAAATGACCGTGGATACATACAATTTTTGCTGAATATTTAATGTTTATATAAGGATTTTCTATACACTATACAATTTTCAAAATATGTTGACTTGTCTTGAGATGTTTACGAACATTTTCAGTTTCCAACTTTTTTAGTTTTTTTTTCTATAAATATCAATACATTTTTATTCGTTGGATCAAAAAGCTTGGAAATTTAATGCAATGCTCCTAATATAAAAAAATGTCTACCGGAAAGTAAAATTAATTTTTTTTTAGCTTTTGAAGTTTAAATTTTCACAACATTGGATATTTACTTTATTTCTCAAGTAGCAATTTTCTTATTTTGTCAAAAAAATTCTATAGATACTTGACATTTACACCATATGTTTATTTTGTCAATTCCTATACTAGATAAAATTTTCAAAATGTTTTGAGCTGTTTAGGACATTTTAAATTTTAAATTGTTTTGTTATTTTTTCTATAAATGTCAATACAATTTTATTTGTTGGGTCAAAAAGCTTGAAAATGTAATATAAGGCTCTTGATATTATATTGTTACAATAGTAGTTGAAAAATATTAGTAACACATAGGAACAATTTTTTTTTATAATCAAAATTCGAATTTTGACAAAATTTATCAAATTTAAAATTTAAAATGATCTTGTAGTTAAAAATGTATAAAATGTTCATATTTTGTAGTTAAGGATTGAACATTTAAAAGAAGTTTCCACGTAAGTAGGTTATTCTGTACTTAACTAAAAACCTAAAAATATAAAAACACAATTTTTTCATAGTTATTTTATGTTCAAATTTGGACGAAATTAGATATTGAAACGAAGAGGAACGATTTTAGTTTTGTGTTATATTTAAAAAATATTATTCGTGGGTACTTGAAACTTCTAAAGTATATTATTATATATAAATATTTAATAATAATTCAACTTAATCGGCTACCTTAATAATAATAACAATACGGGTAACAATATAAATATAATATATAATATCCTAGGCTGACAAACCGTCTCAGCTCAGAATAGTTTTTCGTATACAATATGCTATTATATAATTGAGTTTACATTTAAACAATCTATTAGTCATCCACTTGTAATTTATACTGTACAGCAGATTAACTTCCTCTTACCCGCTTTTTTTATTTTACATTTTAAAAAGGAATATGTATAGTGTAAGACGTAAGTACATAATATATGACATCATCCCATCAGAGTTGTTAAGGAAAAAATGTTACAACTACAAAATTGGTGTTCAAAAGTAATTTCTTTATCCTATTCCTTTATCCTATGGTCAGTACTCAATACTTATCAGAAGTTCTTACAGTATCAGTATGCAATATGATTTAGTATCTATCGACTTTCAATCATGTTCTTTGGATGTCTAACATTGAGTATTAGTTCATAAGTTATTAAACAATAGCTATATTATATTATTATACCCATATTTCTATGGATATCCTTTATGGCTTTATGGGTATGTACTACGTAGGTATATTGTATATATTATATAATATATTAAACCATAAGCACTGCTGTTGAAATCTCTATGTACCTAGTACCTACTGACGTAGGCGCTTCTCCGCTCGTGTATATGGATGTCGAAATATATGACCTGATTCCCACGAACGTTCGGGGTTATATTATATATATATATATATATATATATAAACCTAGTATACCTACTCATAATAAATGATAAAACTATTTGTTGCTACTAACCTTCAAAATTCGTTTATTACTCAAAACACGTTTAAGTCAACGTATTTATGATTGTGAACTAGGAGTATGTGAATATCAATATTAATATTTATATATATATATACACTTTATAAAACTAAATCATGATGCGCTACTAAGTTGTTCGTTCAAATGATTCATAACAAGATCTGAAGAAAAAGTGCAATTTGAAGGCCGAGAAAAAACTTATAAGATTAAATGCCGTCTCATAACCACGATGAAAGATATTGAAAGTGTTGTATTTTGTGAGAGGTATCGGTTCGACTACCAGATAATCAAAATCAAAATTTCCGACCAGGATATATAATAAAGCTGATGCCGAGCTGTTCATCGCACTATTAATTCGGTCATCTCGGTACAGGATAGTGGTTCTTCGGTGCGGTATTAAAATTACAAGTATACATAACTATATATAGGTTATATATTATATATATATATATATAACTATCTGACAAGCTGTAAAATGCATATAGATTTGTTTGAAACGATGAAGTCTCATGAATTACAAACATATTTGAAGATATTAATTGATTATTCAAGTACTAATATAAAAACATCCTACAATAATTGAATAATAATATATTACTTAAAAAATTATAAATATGTTTCTTATTTTTTGTTATATCCACGGACTACGACTCATAAGTTATTAAAACTATTCGTAGATGAAATATTTTTAAAATCACAACAAAATAATAATCAACTGCCATGGCCCAAAGTATTTTGGTATTGTACTTAATTTATACATACCTACATAGTATTAATTCTATACATATTGAAGCAATTCGTTTAAGTTATAACAAACATGTAATTGATTTAGGTTATTATGTATAGGTACATACTACATATAGATATAATACCATGACAGTTTACAGCTTATACCTAACATATAAATCAAAACAATATAATATAGTACACACAATATGTGTGATATATTAATAAATGTATATGAATAAATTATATGAATAATATATATTTAATATATATTGTATAATGTATAATATGTACCTAATCTAGACCTTCTAGGACCGGGTGGTAAATGGTAATATCTCTCGGCTGAATAATCGGGATCTCCCGAATCGTAGTTTCGAATCGGCGAGAGACTAAGCAACCGTGGAGCGGCATCTTCCGTATTTTTCTGAAACCACTTCATGCTCCTCGATCTTACCATTAACTAAAACAAAAACATTAAACTTTTATTTACTGTAAATTTATTAAAACAAAAAAAAACATTTTCTAAATCAAGTGTAGAATATAAATGTATAAATGGATATTATTATTTTAACCAAACGATCTATCAATACAATTCGTATTCAAAGTTGAATTACAAACCACGGTACCTACATTTGAACTATTATTATTGTCGATTTGCATTTACCTGTTTTTTCTACGTAATCGTGAATCTACGTTCATTTATACTCAATAAAAGCCTAAAATGTTCATGAAAATGATGCGTTATTTGAACAAATGGTAATTCGTTTGTTCTTTATGTGCAATGCAATTGTATGTATAGTTGGTGTATAATACAAACATGTTGCTTAATTCCTTTATAGTGCATTTTAATTAATATACATTATATTCTTCAAGCCGGAATTTATAGAATTCATAATTATATATGAGAATACATATTATTACCTAACACAGAATATAATAGTCAATAGAATTTAAAAAAAACTAATAATCAATATTAACCAAACTGACACATTGCATTACGCCATTACCTATAGGTAACTGTCATAAATACCGATAATAGTTATTACAAAGATTAACTAGATTTATTATTACGATATTTTCAATAAAATACGTAAACTAATCCCCGAACCTAAAAATGCCTACACTATAGAGTACCTGGTACATAGTACACAAGTAATATTTACTTTCAAATTATAAGTTCATATGAATATGATATATGAATAATATTAATGATAATTAATAATATTATGGCATGTAGATTATAGGTAGTTTCTTTTTTGACACCAAGTACACACATATTGAAATATCGATAAATTTAGCATTATTATGAAAATAATAATAATTGTCCGTACTTTATACAACTATACACAATACATTTCCCTTAAATATAGGTAAACTTATATCTAACCTGACCTACCTACCTACCTACTAAAATAATTTAGTAACTATACATAACTTGTATGTACAATTAGATGGGTACTATTTTATATCAAATAGATATTTAATCTTCATCAAAACATGATGATAATATCTTGTATAACAGAAAAACCTGACAAAGAAAAATGAAGAACTGACGCAAATTAAGCGTATTAAAAAAAAATTATTAAAGTTATATGGATAATGGATAAATGATTTAGATTTACATATTATGTCAGAAAATTCCCAAAAATAATATATTGAAAATGATTAGAATAAAAGTCATATAATTTGCCAAGTCCCCCTGTTACACCTTGTGTAATATAAATGATTTAGTATAAGTTAATTTGAATAATTTGGTAACATTTTACTCTCATATTTAAAACATAATAGGTATACAAAAAAGTAAAATATATATTAAAATAATAATATTATTATTATCTTATTTAAGTATAGATTCTATAATATATATTAAAGCTTGAAGTCAATGAGATAAGAAGACTGGAGCGCAAATGAGCTGTTTACTTGTTTAATATTGCAGGTATTCCTGCGAAACCAGTCACTCAGGAAGTTTCTTTTGCAGATCGCTAGTTCTTCGAATGAAAAACAAAAGGGTCTACTGACTCAAACCCATTAACAAAAAAAAATGTACCGTCGCTATCTGACCGTATGACAGCATTAACAAAATTAAATGAGAGATTGGACAGGCTTGAAAATAGTAAGTAGCAATTATAAAACCTATCCGGCTTTATGGCATTCAACTGGGGGGTTGTGCCAGTAAGTCTAACATCGACGTAATACAACGCTGTTAAAATATCGCCCTTCGGACCATCACTGCAGCCTACCGCATCGAAAGAAACAAAGCAATTCGCCGTGATATGATGCTGCCTATAATAGTAGACGAAATCCAAAGGTTTGCTCGCAAACACGAGACGAGGCTAAATTCACCATGTCAATCCATTGGCCATCCAATTATTAGATAACTCCAAGGACATCAGACGTCTTAATAGCGCCTGAAACCATACGACTTAGTTTAAGATTTTAGATTAAGGCTGCAGGAGCCACTTCATTGGAACCCCATCAACGTGTAAAAATATATATAATTTATATCTAGTATTTAAAATATATATAATTGTTATACATAGTAATAAAGACCTTCGGGTCGTTTAAATAATAAAGCCCTAGGGCATTTAGAAAAAAAAATATTGCAGGTTAGGTTATAAAAAAGGTTAATTTTTAATATTGCAAAAAAAAATGAAGATTGTACTATTGTAGGTACACAGACACACAGTAACTTCAGAAAATAAGGTGATTAGTAATTACTGTATAGTAACCATATCATATTAGAATAATAATAAAATACCTACTTTAAAATATTTTATATAGGTACATTAATTAATTTAATCTACGCTGAGATTAATAACTATTTTGTCATTCATCTCAAGTAATTTAAAATATATAGGTAAATGTACGAAAATAGCAGATAAATGTAAAAAAAATCCACTCTGATTTGTTAAACAATTGGATTTTAAAATTAAAACGAAATTATATTATTTCTCATATCTATACAATATAAACTTATTTTGCTCCAAAATGTTTGTTAAGAGGATGTCAGCGCACTATTTGTTTTCTCTCTGACCCACGCGCAACATCGCAAATTTAGGTTTAGCAGAACCAACTCTGTGTTATTAGTAATTACTTTTAATATTAGAGTTAATTAACCTATTATCAAACTTAATGTTAAGAACATTCTCTGTGTAACTGTGTCCCTTCGTTGGCTGTTTTATGATATTTTAATTTTTATGTAAGTCATGAGCATGTAAATTATTACAATTTAAAATTTCCAAAAATTAAAATGTTATAAAAACCAACGTAAGGACACTTATAATATTCTTAGCTCAAAGTTTGATAATAGTTAAATTCACTCTAATATTAAAAGTAACTACGCAGGGTTGGTTTTGATAGACATAAATTTGCTATGTTGCACCTGCTGGGCCAGAGATAGAAAACAGATTTCACGCTGACATCCTCTTAAAGGAATCTAGTCCATATATTGAATAAACAAGTAAATAATCAATTCATTAACAGGGGCTATATACTTATAGACTAAATGGTAAGTTTTAAGGGGTTGGAGCGTAATCCATTCTAAGGAGTAAAAACTAGGCATTTTATATCATAATACGTCTGTCGTTTCACCTACGCGCATGCACATGCTTATAACACTATAAAATTACAAACATTTTTTTCAAAAAATACTGCCAGTGACTTCAATCACTACGCTCAGTATAGGATGTTCTGATTTAAATTTTGAAAGCAAATTTGAATTCTCCTCTAAATTTACTATGCTTTGACTGTCGTACATTTTTCATATTCTATATCAATGTATTTAAATTTTAATTATGAATATGATCTATTTTTACTTTTATTGTTAGTAAATTTCTAATTAAAAAAAATAAAAACCAGAAAAATGAAATTGTCTAAGCATAGATAATTTAGTGACGAATTCAAATCTGCTTTCAAAATTAATATCAGATTTTATATTGGGCGTAGTGAGTGACGTCGTGAGCTATGTTCTCGACCGAAAATTAATCACATTCCAGCCCCCTTAAAACAAGCTTTCTATTTTTAAACTTTAAAATACAATATTTAGCAACCTATGTCAACCATCTGCATGTTAAGTACAATATTAATATTATATGAGCATACGGTAGTCCATGTACGCCAGTGTATATCTTTACCCGAACGACTTCAGCCGTTTTTTCAACACTCATATCTCTGTTTCCCGTTAGATAGACTTTTGAAATTTGAAGCATAGATTAAACTTAAGTGGGGCATTGTACAAATTTGAGTCCTTAATATTTAGGTTTTTCAAAAGGAGATACTTTTTAGTACAGGCTGAATGACCGACTCACTCACTTACTGATCATGAACATTATAAGGTACTTCCTGTATAGATAGAATCGTGCAATTTGGCACAAGGTAGGTCTTAGCTTAAGTAAAGAGAAAAATCAAACAATTTCAATTTTCCCAAAATTAGTGCCAGTTTATGAAGGCTAGTTTTAAATGCATGAAGTGACATTGAATCGATGACCGCGACCCGGGTCTGGGACTTTACCCTTTTTTTGCGGTTACATTTTTGTTGAATACATTTATACGCATTAGGAATCACCGTATGTGAACATTAATGTTCTATGAATAATAATATATATTAATATATATTATATATATTTACATATGATGTGACGTGTGAAGTAAGTAGTATAATGTAGGACACTAGGACGTATAGGTACCTAGTACCTACATAAGGTTGTATACTATGCTTAGCAAAAAGGTTATAAAATCCAAAAAAAAACCGGACAAAAAGTATAATTAAAAAATAATGTATTTATAAGGAAGTGGATAGGTAGTTGTTTTTAAGAAATCGACAGCACAGTATAATAATGTTAACAATTTTAACCTTTGGCCCACTGTAGAAACGCTTGATTACGAGAAATCGCTTTTCACGTTTCCGCAATTTATTTCACGGCCGATTTAGATTTTGGCCAAACAGTCATCACTGTACTAAGGATCGCTTTCATTTAGGCTAAGAAATAAGAAAAGTAGAAATTATAATAAAGAGAAAATTGTATAAAAAAATCAATTCGTTTAATTCTCGTATAAACCATTACATGTAAACCTTTTAATTAAAAACCTTTTTTTTTTCTTTTTAAATTCGTGACCGTTAATTTTTTTTTTTTGTTATTGTATTCTACATTTTACGCAACTGAACATTGAACAATAATTGTAGACTTTAAAGCAACCACTAACGGTTATGTACGGAAAAACATCATAGGGTGAGCAGGACAGGTGTATCTATGGTTAACAACAGCTTGTGGTATAGTGTGATATCGACCAGAACATGTATGTCTGTTACACAATATTAAAATTTACAATAATATAACGGTCACGCATATGTATACATATTTATACATATATATATAGAGGTGAAATGTATATGAATGTATAAAAACAAATCAAATTATATATATATTGTAAGAATATAGATCAATTTTATTTTTTAAA